AACCTTTCGCGAACCTTTCGCCGCCCTTTCGCGAGCTTTCGCCCGCAGTGTTTTTGCATCATGCGTCCCCGTGCTTATAGATTTTTAAACATGGGCTTTTGGACGATCCCCAAATGGGGAATACCTTTTTTGGGGGGCGGTCCAAATAATGAGCACTTTAATATTCACCATCTGTTGGGAACCTCCACGAAAAATCAAAGCATCCCTGCTGACTTGTGGCAGATTGCCTGACTGTGCGGCTTCACTGCTGTGAGGTTGGAAGTGCTTAGGTATCCATGTGGAATATTTGGGTTCAGATTCTGGAATCAGTCTTGAAGGGGGGTACTGCCTGAGGTTCTCAAAAAAGGACATGCAATAAGGCTAGAAATTGCTCCTTTGCCATTGCACGACCATATGAACACTGTCGGCTTAGCCACCAGACGGCGTGTTGAGATGACACTTGGACCTGTGGACCTGGAGTGAGATCTAGATTCGCTCTGAAACTCAATCCATATAGAATCCTTCGTACACGGACACGCTCACAATGAAAGAGTTCGGCTTCAGGCTGTGCGGTCCTGTTTGCATTGGCCTGCCGCCGCACATAGTTCGCAGCCAGCCGGAACTTGGACAGGTAGAACTCGTATGTCTGGGCACAGCAGCTGCTTGCACGGCAACTGCGCAGCCAACACAATTCCCTCTGAGGTCCATCCCTGCTTTTGCTACGGCCATGTCTGTTGAAACCGCAACCCCAATCCACATACTCCGAAGCGAAGATTTCCCTAATTGGAACCTATAGAACCAACCCACAAATCTGTGCCCACTGCGTTCTTCATGAGCCAGCCTTTTAGGCTTGCCCTGGGCGCGGAAGCTGGGATCCCATGCTTTGAGGCTCCATGGAATTAGGTACAATAATATAGGGGAACCCCATAATGACCCCATAGTACACCTATAGTCTCCCTTCTAAATTGTCTAAACTCCGCGGTAGCCCGAGCTTATCCCAAAGGATTTGCATCTCTGCAGGCGCGAAGAGTCTATATGAACAAGCTTCTGCTGCGCTCGTAGATATGTTCACAGAATCTCAAGAATGCATATACTTGCAGACATGTGTATGCGGTCGTTTGTCAAAGTCAATCATCCTGATCATCCAATGTATTTGGTTGTGCGGAGGGTTTCGGTGGTAGGTTGATTTGTGTCCCACACAATAGAAGCTGGGATGTTTAGGCTGAGCTTCGGGGCAGTGCCGCCCCCGGACTGTCAGGGGTTGCGGCGTAGAGCCTGTAGGTACGACCGCTGTCATGTAATACTGTCATCAATACCCAAAAACTCTTTGCGGCAGCCATTTCCATCCAGATCACTCTAGCCTGACTATTCCAAAGAGTTGGCTGAGTCATGTCTGAAGCGCTGGAAAGGGGCCACAGGAAGGCACTCAGCGCTGCTACAACATACTCAAGCCATATTTGACATGCAATCATCCACCCAAAGCCCGCAAATTTCCGCAAATGATACCAAGCTTCATCAACAGCTAATGGTCTCTGGAGCTGTACAGCCGTGCCACTTTGGGGCCGCCTACCAACCGAAGCCTCAAAACTTGTCATTACGGTTACAAAAATTGCCTCCATCTACTCCTTCAACGTGTTACAACATGTCTCTCCTCTGGTGCATCTTGAGCTTCGTCTCACCACTCACTATGAATCTGTCCTTGAACAATCCCCAAATCAAACTCAGCTGGTCCTCAAGGCTGTATAATAATCTATGACACATTTAAACATAACTTTCACGATCCTGACACTCAAGAATTATCTGGGGTCTGGGCATTCCGGTATCCTGCCAAGCGCTGCAGAGGATTCGGGTGGAAGGAAACAAAAGCGAAACTTTCCCTGTCTGAACACATCCATGGCCCAACTCTATGATTACCAATTAGGTTGGGCCTCCACCCACTCAAAATGACCACCAGAAAACAGGTAATTACCTTAGCTTCCCTACGCATGCACATTACACCATTATCAAGGGGGCCGTAATCCAAAGTAGAGCTGAGAGAGGTAATCCGTGAAAGCCTGGCGGGCACAGGTAACAATTTCGACCACGGCGCGCTCGCGGCCCGGCCAGCCAAGTTCGGTAGGCAAGCTGGAAACTGTGTGCGACACCATGCCACGAGAGAAATCGAATACCATCAATAATAGCTGACATGGCAGAAAGACTCGACAAACATATGCAGCGTCGTGGTCTTCATCATTATTGTGGTCGTTGTCTTAATAGTCAGCAGCACATGAATAAATAATTGAAGCACCAGCAGCAATAGGACTAGTGGCTGCAGCTGTCGCGCTAAAGGTAGCGTTAGTCTTTGCAGCAGCTTGAGGAGCTGCAGCAGCGGCAGCATAATGTAACATGAGTATAACTATCATCAGGAAGTCATATCTAGAAACTAGCCATGCAAATGATCTAGATCTACCCAGCCCTATACTTGCGTTCGTTAGCCAGGACCCTGCCCGGTCCAAGTCCGTCTCCAGTAGGGGGTAATCCTCCGGGATGCCATCATCATTCCCACCCTCCTGCAAAGGCGGGGTGTCCTCCGCCAGAAAGCACGTGCTGCGCTCACTACCTACCCTCCTTCCCCCACACGTTAAGCTCAATAATGAGGACAGCTAAAGTACTGAGAGCCGCAGTAACTATGAACAGCACACATCATGATGCTGCTGCGGCTGCAGCAACGGCTACTGCTGCTAGTGCTACTGCTAGTGTTACTTCTACTCCTACTACTACTACTGCTGAGTCTGGTGCTACTACGAATCGTGCCGGCAATAGTAAGAGTACTAATCAGAATGGGAATGCCAATGACACAAGCTGATGTGATGTGGACATCGAAAGTTGCATGAACAGAACCTGACGTCCGCCCCGTCAACCACAAGGACGGGTGCAGGGTGGGGCAATGACGCATCGGGGCAACCGGCTCTGAACGGCTACAGCTTGGTTGCAGCAATGATGCTACAGCGCACGCTACTATCTGTACAGGTCCAGGTACCAGTACCATCACCAACCACAACAACAACCACCTCCGCCGCCACCACCACTATTTACCACTGCTGCCGCTGCCACCGCCCCCACTGCCCCCACCGCTGCAACTGCGGCCGCCGCCACGACCAGCAACATGACCACGATGAGGACCGGGACGAGGACTGCAGCTTGACGACTACGATTGACAACCACGAGGCGGCTAGGCCAGGTGAACCCAAAGAGTATAAGAATGATGCTGCCCGCAACGGTCCAGCATCCGAGGCACCACTACCTCAGAGTTGGCTAATGGCGCTTGCCTACTTCAAGATTGGAAGCATGGGCCGCCAATGCGGTGTCAGGGGATTCTGGAGATGCTGCAGGGCCTCAAGGGACAAGTATAAATAAGTTATGAGCGTGTGAGAGTCCAGGGTTAAGGCGCATATCAAACACCATATGCTCAACGTCTTATGACCTTCTACCCGCCACCGAAGGTTGAGATGGAAAAGGAATGCCATTGTAATTACAAGTGTCATCAACGATTATCATGCCTGAGTTAATGGTTTGACAGTGGACTCCTTACTAGTAGGATGAACTTTCAAGCAGACTCCTCAAACGGAAATGCAGAGATTCGGACTTTCACACCTTGCAAAATCCACGGAGGCGGCGCTTGTGAGAAATGAGCTTCGTTGTAAGAATGGTACCTATTATTGCACAACCTACAGCCAGCCTACAGGCACCCTCGCCAAGCATTGAGTGTCAACCTAAAGCTCATTGCAAAAGAAGATAAACCACGCAAGCATCCACCGCTAATCACTGCGTAATGCAAGCAATCCAAGGAACGCGCAATAGGCCCTTAAACGCTGAACTTTAACCATTCAAAAACGACTCCTTAAACCCTTGATCTACTTGCCAAACCCTGAAGCTCCAATCGACCGCAGACCCTAATCCCACCCTCTCAGGTGGCCACAATTCCTTGGACTGCCTGCGCCAGGTAATCGGCGAGCAGCCGCACTCGCGGCATCCGCCAACCTGATGTGAGGATTGGCAATTGCCATCCAATACGGTCACTAAGCGCTTCCAACAATATGTCCCTTTTGAAGAAAGCGGGTGTTTTACATTGGGGGAAGGAGTAGGTGTGCTAGTTGGTGTTGGTATTGTGATGATATTGCTAGATTGCTTACGAATATGATGGTCAACATGGCTTGTTGCTGGTTGTAAGCTGCTGTTGCTAACACTACTCCGGGCCCAACATCCCGCGCTGCACTGTTTCCACCACCGCATCACGACAACACTCACCAGCGCTACTGCCACGCTTTGGATGCTCTTGGATTTCCCATCACAACGTGGCTCGCACCTGTTCGCGGTGATCAAGTTACTGCACCTTACTGATTCCGATTTAGCATTGAGCGCCTACACAACCTTGGGGCCCAAGTGCTCTCACAACAAGAGTTCTCCAAAGAAACGGGACAGGGAGTCATAATGCCAAAGATGATGCCACCTGCAAAAGCTGACTGATTGCCTGAGACAGCTACACTTGGAAATGCACAACATGCCTGTATCCGAATCCAGAAGCTTGCACAATGAATTGAAGCTATGGGTTACAAGCGCAACCGGCAGCTGTGGAAACCCTGAAGGTCCGCTTCAAATACCTCATTCAAAAACGATGTACAACCAGGATCTGAGGCTGGAGCCCCAAAGGTCGGGTATCACCTGAATGCCGCCAAGGCTTGCATATTCAACTTACCACCAACCTGTCCGCAGCTGAGATTGGAGGAAATCACTTTGCGTTAGCTTTGTCCACTGCGGAAGTTGATTTGTTTGAAATCTGCGGCAGATACACGGGTGAAACAACCTCAAAACAGAATTTTGAAACGAGAAGGCTACGGCCTGCAGCAAGTTCAAAACCCGTGCAACTTAGTGGGATACCCCCCCAGAGTTGAAACGCTATAACGGCAAAGCGCAAGCCCTGACCATTTTGAAAGAAGATTAGAACAGCGCTACGTGGACTCGTTCCATTCCAAGGTAGAACCACTCTTGACAGGTTCGGATGAGCTGAAAATCCCGGAGAAGACACTGCGCCATAGCTCATTGAGCTACGGCGCAGTGTCTTCTTTGGGATCTTCGGAATGATCTCCAATGTCTTGCAGGTGTAGGCCTGCCCAGGGATGCGTTCGGGCAACTCGTGTTGCATGCTTTCTTCCTTCCAGGCTGAGTCTGCACGTCCTGCTGCTCTCTGGATAACTTATTAAGTTATACAGAGAGCTGCTCATTTCTTGATGCTATTGCCAACATGCTCTTCAACGGCTCCGGGGAAGCCGTAGACATGAAGGCTGACATGAAGGCCATTCAGGCGCCAAGAGTTGAAGGTCATGGGGCAAACGCTAGCTGCAGACTTAGCACAGGATTTTGTGTACGAGTTGGATGCGCAAAGCACTCCAGCAAACGCTGCAATGCATCTTCAGAGATTCGATGGTTCGCCGATATGATTCATGATTGAGCCAAGACAGCAAGCAATGAGCCGCACTCTGTCGGCTGCGTCTCTTTCACTTTCACCACTGCGGCGAGAAAATGCTCATGTGTCGCTGCCACCCCATGCAGCCCAATGCACCAAAGCTGTCTCATGATCTAGGGTTCTATTGCAAGGTCTCGCGGCGTCTCACGTCTGTCAGGACGAAGACAGAAGCACGTGAGCAGCAACAGATGAAAGACAAAGCCCGCATGAGTTCAGCAAGCTTACCCGAGGATCTCAGATTGTCAGCACACTTGCAGAACTCATGGGATCCGCATCACCTACTTTTTAAAATGCAACTTAACCTGAGAACAGCTGAAGCCAGGCTCCAAGCAACAATCGCCACTTCGTTGTTGGCAATACCAACCTCTGCAGAATCACCATTGGTTCTGATGATCATGGAGATGACGGTGATGAGGGTGATAGCAGCGGCAACGGTGATGATGATGATGATGATGAAGATGAAGATGAGGAGGCGGACTGATGAGCGCAGCGGCAGCGGCACCAGCAGTTGCATCCCTGTTTTCGGTGGCTGAAAAGACAACTTACGCGTCTAACAACACCAATGTGGCCATGAGCCAGATCGTGGGCTCTTGTGAAAGCCTGTCACTGGTACTCCTACCTTGCTTTAATGTCCTTGGCCAGCCAACCCGCCGTGCATAAGTAGCTGTTGACATCATACGATTCAAAGCAAGGAGGCCTTGGCACCCACCGCCACCGCCTCTGAGCCGCCGCTACCAGCTCCAGCACCAGCATCGAATCAGATTTGTTCCGTATAACTTCCTTCTGTTCTAGCTCTCCAGGAAAGACCATGCAACCTAAACGCCAACCGGTCCCCTGATTTCCCTGTACAGTCCCGCTAATATTTGTACAGAAGCTGTCCATATTCCCTGCATTATCCGCATGGGAATTCAGCCGCATGTGGTGATTTCAAGCTGGCGTTAAAGGAATGACTGCTGCTGCCACAACTGCGGTCTCAACTACTATGGGCACGCCTGGGTTTCTAAGGGCTTGATCGAGATTATGAGGGCAAACTGGTGTTCCTGCAGCCACGGCGCCTGGTAGAGCATGAGGTCCTCGTACTTCGCCTCCTGCGTATGCATCGCACTATGAGCAAGGCCCTTGGAGAGCCTCCTGCTTCTGTGGGGGGGGCGTTGTACGCTCGTGAAGAGATATTGCAGCTCCATGCAATTGCCTTTGCAAGGTTTCAGCTGAACTTTGCTTGGGGTCTCTGTATGCCTGCTCTGGCTCTACCAAGTAGAATACCCCGAATGTGATGACAACCACAAACGTCCTGACAGACCTGGCCACTGTATGGTCAAAGACTATGTATTCTTCTTAATATTAATAGAATTCTTAATAACAATGATCGTGAGTGTTGTTACTACCGCAAGATCCTTACCGCCAAAATCCGCTGAGACCGGCGCGTTTCCCTGCGGGCTTTGGGAAGTTTCCTTGGGCGTGCTGCAAGAGTTGAGCGACTCCCTTGTGCTATAATGCTCGTGTTTGGGTCTGCAGCTAAAGGTCCTTGTCCGCACAAATCCGGGCCCGTATGGCTGATGTCTGAAGGAGGGCTCCCCAAGAAGTGCCCCTTGTTGCACGACAAGATTAAGCTTGTAGCACAACAAGGATTGCCCCATCCTGCACAAGGCCTTCAAACATGACTCCGACCAACATGCAAGACCTGCTTACACTCTGAGCTCTGCCAATCCTTGTTTCTATCTTTCATCACGGGGGCTTAGTAGGGAATAAGGGAAAATGTCATAGTGGGATTTTGTAGGGATTCTATTACCTTATTCCCTACTAAGCACCAGTAAGTTCAAGATGCTGGAAGTTTGCTTCCAAGTGGCTGCTTCCCAGTCCCACTTCAAGGTGAAGCCTTTGCAAGGTGAGGGCCGGCTGAAGAGAACTAAGCCCTGTATGCACTCTAGATGGTAGTTTCCCAAAATAGGCGGACCCAATATAGGCCCCAAAATATTATAGTCCTTACTATTGGGATCATCAAGAAGGTACCCCTAATTTTGGGAAAATCCCAGATAACCCCTAGATAACCCCTATAATCCCCTTATACACCCTACATAACCCCTAAACCTTACAGAAGCCTTGCAAAGGGGCACAGCAAAGTTTACAGAAGGGTTGATCAAGGCTAGCTCCTCAGCTGAAAAGAGGTTTAATGAGGGTTACACAGGGAGTATACAGAATTATACAGGGGTGATTTTGGGGGTAATATAGGGCATATATATATATATGTATATACATATTTAGGGTCTGTATAGTAAGGTCAGCTTTGGACTTTGGTGGCTTCGAGTCTTCGAGGCTGTTGGGGATTGGGGCGGGGGGGTTCTCAGCCTTGAAAGCGGTGACGGTCCCCTCTTCTTGTTTCGCGGACAAGCTAGTCATTAACTACCTGACCCAAACAAAACACAAGATCTCCAAGTAGGATTAGTTGTGCTAATGGAGGAGTTCATGCTTTGGCTCTCGCTTTAGAAGCCTGCTGTTCGCCACTGGCATCATTCCGTAAGTAGGGATAAGTAGTGGCGGAGGGCGCGGTGCGTGTCTGATATTCGCAGGGGCCCATCAAAACCACATGCAGCATGCAGCCTCACTTCAAGGCACAAAAAGAGAACCCTAAACCCTTAAAACCCTAAACCCTAATTTTCAAAAACTTAAGTGCCGCAGGCTCTGTTGCTCGAAACATGGTTGGAAGAAGGCGACAAGCGTACACATAGCGAAGTCATGGCATAACTCTTATCTGAATCCTCACCATGCAGAGACGACCTGAATCGCTGGTGTAAAACTAGTTTGGCAATAGATTGGGAATGCGATGAATCATGGCAACTAGAAGAGTTTGACTTTCGCTTGTTGCTGCGGACTGGTCAGCCCTGTATTTAGATATTGTGTGTGTGTGCTGGGCTACATACCTCAGGGAATTGAACTTCTGCGTTGCTTGGTGCCTCAAAGCTCATACATGGAAGGCTTCCAAAGAGCGCTAATACAAATGTGAGTTCTGCATCATACCATCCCTATTATATGTATATATACACACCTATTTTACATACATATATATCTAGATATACATACACACATATCTATCTATCTATCCATCTATCTGTCTATCTATCTTTGGTCCTAGACCCGGTACAACACTCATATACACGCCAAACCTCTAAAAAAGCGCTCCCAGAATTTTGAGGGATCTACTCATATGAGAACCCCCTACTGTCTCTCTGGTGGCACCTGTAGGAGCGCCGGGTGGCCCCCTGGCGACTCAAGCTTAAGATCATATCCGCTTAGGATGCTTTGGCCTCATTGGCACATACAGACCTGCGGCAGCAAGCACTTTTGACTCCTTCAACTATTTTGGGGGTGAAGGGTAGTGGCTTAGTGGCTTAGCCAAACCAACCAGGGAATGTGCTCAAAAAGCACGAAACATTCGTTAATCTCCCAATGCAATTCCCATCTGCAAGACATGCCAGATGTACTGCTCTACCACGGCATCCTGCTCGGCGACCTCCTGGGGATTTGGGGCTTCCTTGCTCGTTGCTTTTCCATGTGAAGAGGATTATGTAGACAGTTCCTTCCGAGCCTTGGACATTGTCCTCTGAGGACAAACCCTGAACCCCAAACAACAGTTTCGGTTCCCTTTTCGGCTGTTTTTAAGATCCTTGCACAGTCTGGAACAGCCTTATGCATCTAGGTGGGGCCGTCAGCACAAGTTGCAGGCCTGCAGATGAACCCCAGAGCTGAGTCCCATGACATGTCATTTTCCATTCGTAGGGGAGACCCCAATATAGACCCTATAATACCATAATAATCCTTTTCTTGGGATCCCTCAAATGGTACCCCCAAATTTGGGGACCCCCCCTCCCCTATAAAGCCTAAACCCTATGTTGCCAGAATCTTCAAAGCTCTTCAGGTGCAGCTTCTAGCGATTCATCCACGCCACGACATCGGCTAGCATCAGATATCAGGGAGCTTTCCTTTGTACCCTTAAGGTTTGTACCCTTGGGTTTGGGTCACTAAACCATGAAATATGGGCCTTAATCAGGGGATATGGGACCCAAACTCAAAACCTAGGGTTACAAACATTGAGGGTACAAACTTGAAGTCTTTGAAGGTAACAAGGGCTCGACCGCACAATCTGGCCTCCAGGTGTCCTCTTGCAATTGTAGCGTGGTTTCAACTTAACTGTCTATGTTTTTTACTCATTTGTCTCTCCATTCCTAGGGACACTAATCCCTGTCCGTGTCGCCTGAGAAACTAATCTCCCAGTAGTTACGAGTTTTTTTTGAAACCGAGGAGCAGCGCCGGAATCCTTCCAAACTTTACAAACAGCTCGCAGGTCCGGGAATCCTGTGTGAAGGCCAGGGAATCCCTGCCATCGGAAAGCGCAGGCATCAATGGAACATCGTTATTCCCAGTTTCCATGTCATTTTCCATGTTCTGCTTCATTCGATTCTCCGTTTTGGGATATACATCCCTATATAATCCCCGTATAAATACAGTAGCTTCCATTTCATCTTCCAATGTCCTTTCCATTTGATCTTCCAGTTTTAAGATTCTATCCCTGAGTCCTTATTTACTCCTTGTATATGTATATATACATATATCATATATCCCTGTACGATCCTTATTACAACACTATATAATCCCCAAATACTATCCCTTTCCCTCAAGTGGTCTTCCAAGGCCGCTCTCCCAAACCCTGCACCCTTAAAGGCAGCTGCCATTCCATTCCCATATTACTTTATATAACCCAATAGACCCCGTATAACCCTATACGCCCCTGAAACCCTTATAGACCCTTATAGCCCTATGAGTCTCTAAGGGCGAAGTCCTCTTCACCTTCCTCCCGGCCGTCCTGGACATTGGTTGGCTGGGTCACGTTAAAGGGGTATGAGGGTGCATAGGGCTATATACGGATCATATATGGGATTCCTTGAAAGGGGTATGAAGGTATGTGGGGCTGTGTAAGGGTTATATATAGAGGTCCTTTAAAGGGGATAGAGCGGATGTTGGTATTAGGGTCTAGGGCCAGTGGTTTTAACAGCATTCTATGGGAATTATGTGATTATGCAGGGGGTCTACAGGGAGTATGTAGGGATATGAAGGGGCCATATATGGGGATCTGCAAGACTTGGTGATCGCGTTTGGGGATAGTAGCTATTTGTGAGCGAGGAATGCAGAAAGCAATGGGAACTGCTGTTTGAGTCAACGGTGTATTTGAGAGTGCTCCATAGAAAGCACATTGTTGGCACGCATCGACGCATGTTGCGGGCAAGAACAAAAAAACTTGATGCGTTCTTGCCCAGACCCTCTAAAGGACCCAACAATGCAACCCGCTAACAATCCCCTAGCTTCCCCAATGTAGTAATGGGTTCATATTGTGGGGGTTCCATTTTTGGATCCTTTAGGGGGTCTGGGTGAACCATACTTGTGAAGGTCAGAGCTGTGTTGTAAGGGCAACGACGACCTGGCCGCGTGAATTTTCTAACCCTAAAGAGTACAAGTAAGTTGTTCCACCAATCTTATGCACTCCACTGCTAGTACCTCGAATCTCCAACTACAAAGCTCTCGCCCTTCGGCAATGAGCCACTGCGGGAGATGCAGGCTCCCTTTGGGGGTCCTTTGAATAACAACAGGGTAGGATTCATTCTTGTTGTCCAGAATGCTACCCTGCACGTACAGCAGCCAAAATGTGTGAATGTAGATTCACCCAAGCCATGACAGTCTGTATCCAAGAAATTGCCCATGTTGATGTCCTCAGCTTCGTCGCCGCTCGGGCCAAAGATTTCCTTTCGTTTTGGGGCGCCTACTTTGAAAGCGCGTGTCTCTGAGCTAGATTCGCCCTAAGAGCCCCGTAACAAGCTTATGGCAATCGGTAGTGGCCCAAGGGTTGACGCAACAGCTCCTCCAGCAACAGCAGCGGGCATGAAAACAGGATACTTTACGCGGTCATGATTCACGAGCGTTGCGCATCAGAGGCGAAGATCTGGTGCTTGGTGATGAATGCATGAAGTCTCTCAGGCTCACGGCAGCACCAGCATGAGTTGCAATCCAAACTCCCTTACCCCCTAGTCAGCAATAGAAGAATTGTCCACAGCATCCTTCAAGTAGGCAAAAATGACACCCAACACGTAGGGCAGAACCAATCTTCTGATTAACTTTGTCAACTTCCTCGGAGCAAACATGCACCTCCCCAACATGGTTTTAAGTTCTTACTGCAATCTAGAGCAAGCACCCCAAAAGTCAGGCGACTCACTGTGTTGAAACATGAAGTCATGGCTTCAGCTGATACAAGCAGCTTCAAGGGTCGCAGTTCCGACTTGTGGTATACTTCGCGGGCTTGCGAATCCTAAGGCGTACGTCCTGAAAGCTGTGGGCCACTTGTGCGGCAGGAATAAACAACCCGTCGTGGGCTCCAGACAATGCAGCCATGAATCATCTGCCGATTTTAGTTTTGTCGCCTTGGCTGTGCAACAGTGAAAGAATGTGGTGAGCACACGGTTCCGATCGGGATACACAAAAAGAGGCAGATTTTCATCGACAGCCATGGATCCAACAGACCCGAACCCTCAGGACAGTTCTTCCAAACGCAGTTGCGCAGCAGTCAGCCAGGATTGTACTATTTCAACTTTACAGTAAAACCTTTGTGAATTCGTCAATTCCTTCTCGTCTTCTTTGCTCGCAAAGTTTATCAGCTTCACCAGCTATGTGCAACACGTGAGTCAGTGCTTCCACCGTCCATCCAGCTCCCCTTCCGTCTTCCAAGGAAAGCTCACCAAGCCTACACCGCCCAGACCGGAATAACCTGTCTCCTTTATCACACATGTACCGCAATATATCTTTCAATGCCATACATGACGATAAGTAATCCTCAACATTATTGCCCCCTTGAATACTGTAGACATGGCAGCCACAGGTGCCTAGAACAGGAGGGTGCAGATTTCTTCAATAGCGCACATGGCCATGGCACGAGGAGTTTGTAGGCATCAATCCAAACCCAGATGCCTCCTTTTTCCAATTAAACAAAACAGCATTACTTACCGATTTAGAACCTACTATAGAGGTACCTGGGCTTCCATGCGATGATGAGGCACTTCTGGAGGATTCTTGGGGCTCTCTTCTAGCAGCTAGCAGTCTTTTTAAAAATATTCCGACTGCCTGTTAATGCTGGCGAGAGTCACCCGCCTCGTCAGGGCCCTTGGCCTCCTTCTTTTTTCTCTTGGCGACTTTGCCATCTTTGGCTTCCTGCAACTCATAATACAAACGGAGCACCAAAGGGTGCATGAGGTTTTCAGAGCTTTGCGTTCACCAGTTTTTTTAAGCAGCCTAAAACTGTAAAGTTCTGGCCCGGAGAGACCTGGCAGGGGCGTGAAGCCCAAAGCCCAATACACCCCCCACATCCTAACTTCTACCATTTGCTGGCGTGGGCACTCAGCGAAATCTTGGCATGTGCTAAACAAATTGCCTGCTACTAGACTGCGTCAAGGACGGTAGTCCTACGAATTGCAGACAATATGGTTTCCACATAGTTTCTATTCTCCTGAGCGATTAGTAGAGTTGCTCTCAAGTTTAGTATGGATTGTGAGCCTTCATGGTAGCTGATAGTTCGGCCCTAATACTATTACCTTTTAGTGCTGTTGTCATTTCTTTTTCGCATGCGCCAGGATCGCTGGTCTCCCGCCTTTGCCCCGGATTCTGGCACGTCGCCTTCATCCTGCGGAGTGTTGATTCCGTGTCCGCGGCATCCTACATCAATAATAATAACTGCTTCCTTGCCAGCCGGGGGTCAAACTGTTTGGGGTACTGAAAGGTAAGATGTTCAGGAGCGTAACCTGAAGATTCTGTGCATACTAGCTATCAAGCCTTATGTTCTCCGCTGGACTTGACTGCAGAACCATGGAACAGACACATGCTCAGCCTGGTCTCTGGGCCCGCACATGGTCCATGGTTTTCAACCGCATTTCTCAGAATCTCTCATAGGACATTTCAGAACACTACAAGCGCCAGACTTCAGCACAGCTTGAGGTGAGATTTGGAGCTTGGTACTCCTTCTGGCAAGCTACTTCCTGGTGCTCGCCTATCAAGACCGAATTGTCAGGCTTGAGCAAAACAGGGCTCTACTTCGAGGCTCTGAGCTCAATTGCCCTTACCCCAGCTAACCTCTCACCACGCATTCAAGCAAAATGGCACAACGCGGTAAGACAGAAGATAGCAGCCTTGCAGCCCTGACCTCTGAATCAGCTGTAACACAGGGGGGTTTCCCAAAATCAGGGGTACTTTTTGGGGGTCCCAATAATAAGGATTATAGTATTTTGGGATCATATTGGGGTCGCCTCATTTAGGGAAACTGCCACATTGCTCCTCAACACTAGCTCGCGCGCAAGGGCCCATGCTGCTTACAAAGGATGTTATTAAAAGCCCCCGCCCCTTACGATCCAAGAAAGCCCTACAATAGCCCTGAAAATCCTTGCAGCCGTACGAAGCCTTCAGAAAAATCCGGTCTGGGCAAAGAAAAGCCGTGTGAAGTGGTTTCCATGAACAGGGTCCCCCAATATGTACCCCAACTATACTTTAGGTGGACCCCCCACCCTGTAATAATGGCTATAAGGGACAAGAAGGACTATGATTTTCTTCTTCGGATATTCCTATTACACTATTGCGGGGTGGGGGGTCCTCCTAAACTATACTACAGTCTCTATAGTAGCTACCCTAGGAAAGGATTGCCATTTTTGCATGCGGCAGTTTCCATAAATGAGGAAGAACCCCAATACACTATACACCTCATTATGGGA